CTATGTACTAGTATTATTGTTGTCACACTATGTACCACTATCACTGTTGTAACACTGTGCACTAGTATTATTGATGTCATCATATGTACCACGTTTACCGTTGTAACCATGTGTACAACTATCGTTGATGCCACCCTATGTAATAGTATTACTATTGTCACCCAATGTATTAGTGTTACTGTTTTCATCCGATGTACTAATATTATTGTTGTCACCCTATGTACCATTATTATTATTGTCACCCTATGTACCAGTATTACTAATGTCAACCTATGTATTAGTGTTACTGTTTTCATCCTATGTAATATTCTTATTATTGTCATGATATGCACCAGTATAACTGTTGTCGCCCTATTTGTTATTCCAAAGAAGTTACTTTATTGTGGGGTTTTTTAAGACAACTGGCCAATGGGACCGTGAATATGGGCAAAGGTCAATTATTTAAACACACTTTGAATCACTTCATCTTAGCAAGCTTCTGACCAAATATCATAACCTTGGACCTTTTAGTTATTCGGGAGAAGTCTTTTAAATAGTTCAACATATCTGACCCCTGTGACCTTGACTATAAGCAACTTGATAGCACGTTATGACAGCATATTTCTGCCATATGACATCAACCTGAGCCTGTTGATTATTCAGAAAGGGTCGTTTGCATATTTTGAACATATTTGATCCCTGGGACCTTGAATAAAAGTCGAGGTCATTCATTTTAACAAACATGACATAACTTAATTCCAGCATGCTACGGATTACATTTAATCATCCTGCAATGTTTTCATATTCAGATGAAGTTGTTTAAATATTTTAAACATATTTGACCCCTTGACCTTGAATTTAAGTCGAGGTCATACATATAGATAAACTTGATAGCCCTTAATGCTAGAATGTTACCGGCCATATTAACATTATTGGCCTGTTGGTTATTCAGAAAAAATCGTTTAAAAAAAACATATTTGACCCCCGTCTTCTTTAATACAATTCGAGGTCATTTATATGGACACATATCATCACCCAGGGTATTTTGGTTATTCAGTAAAAGTTGATTAAAGGTTTTAACGTATTTGATCCCATTGACCTAGAATATGGGTGAAGGTCGTTTATTTGAAAAAACGTGTTAACCCTTTATACTAACATGCTACTGACCAAATATCGTCTCCCTGAGCCTTTCGGTTATTCAGAGGAAATTGTTTAAAGACGTTTTTAAGACATATGACCCATATGACCTTGATTATAAGTGAAGGTCATTCATTTGCACAAACTTGGTACCCCTTCATCCAAGCATGCTACTGGCCAAATATCATCACCTTATGCCGTTTGGTTATTGAGAAGAAGTTGGTTTATAGTAAAATCTTGACACCGAACGACGGACGTCGCACCACAGCATAAGCTCACTTGGCCCTTCTATTATTTCTAATAATAGAAATTATAAGCAGAGGAAGGATGAGCAGCCAGCCCACATAAACTGCATATGTCAGTGAATAGAGAAACCCTAGACGGCTACCTTACCAATGAACTCTGGATGAACTGAAAAGAAAGGCTCCTGGCCTTGAAGAAGTATTCTCGAAGCAAGGAGGCCATGCTTCTGGCTGCGTTTAACCAGTAACATAACAATCCTGAGAGAGAAAACCCTCTGCTTTCTCATGAAAGATGATTTTCCCGATATAGAGATAAAATACTTAAAGCCAGCCTAGTATCCTGCGCCAAAGGACTTTCAGTGTGGGTAGCATGAGGTAGTCATTAAAGTTGATTTGTATACAATATCTACGTTCTGCACTACCTGACAAATCCCGTAATAGTATACATACTATGTCTAGAGCGTTTGAAAAGAGCATATGGAAGTTAAACAAGAGTCCGAGAGGGTCTGTATCGCTCACCTTGATGTTTTTGAAATCATAAGATAATATTCTCAATAAAAGTACTTCTGCAAATATTTCCATACATTGCGTCTCCTTGGCTTAAGAATGTCGAAACTAAATGAAACTGTATGCTACTTTATCTCAGCATGCTACTGCTCAAATAGCATTACCAAGGGCCTCCTGGTATTGCGGAAGAAAACGTTTAAAAATATTTACAAACTTGACCCCCGTTATCATGAACGTAGGTCAAGATTATTTGAAGAACCTTTATATTAATTATAGCACTCTGTCCCAGGTACCTAATGGCCCAGTATAATTACTCTGGACTTCCTGGTTATTCTGAAGAAGGTTTTTTTTTTTTTTTTTTTTTTTTACATATTTGACCCCTGTGACCTTGCAAGTAGGTTTAGGTCATTTATTAGGAAAATGTAAAATCACTCCGTCCAAGGTATCTACTGGCCAAATACAATTGCTCTTGGCCTCTTAATTATTCAAAGGAAAATGTTGAAAGGTTTTTAAATCATTTGACCTTTATGATCTTTAAAGTAGGTAACACAAAGATTATTTGAGAAAACATTTTAGCACTTCATGTAAGGTACCTGCTGGCCAATTAGCATTACTATGGGCCTTCTTATTATTCAGAAGAATTTGTTTAAATTTTTTTTTCATATTTGACACCTGACTAAAGGACGACAGACAACACACCATACCATAAGCTCAACTGGCAATGTGAGCTAAAACCTTGGCAGTAGAAGTTGATCTACATAACTAGATTATCATGCATTTGGTAGGTATTGCTTTTGATACAATATGTGTTTACATCAAAAATAATACAAGTTATATCAACCTGCATATGTCACTCTTGATGAAATTGATGACAGTGTGAGGAATCTAAATGGCGAAGAAAGCACATGGCTGGGCAGTTCAGGGACTCGTACCCCAATTGTCGTGGAGAAAGACGAGTTTGCTATTTACTACGGCACCAAATGTTATGACCACACTTACAATAAGTCCACGTCAGGGCTAGCCATTGTTTATATAGTTACCAGATGAAGTATCTCAGCATAATGATATGTGGACTACATGTAACTTCAGACAGGTGAGCTAGAACTTTTAACAGGTCTAAAGGAAACTCAGTTATTATGTGTTAAGGCATGATACTAGGTATAAAGGAAATAATTGTAATGTGTCAATGCATGATGGATAAAAAGAGATAAATGATTGGTTTCCTAAAATTGCTTACAGATGTTGTGTTGAAAAACCAGTCAATTGTGAGGTCGGATGTCGGGTAACCACAGTCTGTCTCGCACTTGAAACTGCCATCATAATTTTTGCTAAGAACACAAGAAGAGGGGTAGTCTGCAATAAATAAACCCAATATTAACGATAATTCAAAAAACATGATTTTATCAAGCACATAGCAGTGTTGATCAGTAGTTCAGCAAGAGGCTCGCGGGCTTCAAAGGTCACCTGAGTTATACTATAGGTAGCTTATTTTATTGTTGAGATGTTAAGTGGAAATCAACATGTAAACAAAGTAAAATACAATACTTGTTATGTCACCAATGAAAATAACTTTACAATCTCTTCAAATTAATTATTTTTCTATTGAGAAATATGATATCAATTGTCAGTTTGCCTATTTTCCTCTTTGGCCTACCCCAGGGGTAGGTCACATATTTGACTCCTGTGGCCTTGAAAGTAGGTTAATGCCATTTATTGAAGGAAACTGTGTATCACCACATCGTACTATATTACTGGTTAAGTTCAATTACAAAATGTGTATCACTTATTCAGAAAAAGTTGTCCAAAGTTTAAACACGTTTGACCGCTGTGACATCAACGTCATGCATTTGAGTAATCTTCATAGCACTACATCGTAAAGGTACCTACTGGCATAATATCATCATTCTGGGCCTCTTGGTCATTCAGAAGAAGTTGTTTCAAGATTGTTATATATTTTACCACGGTGGTTTTAAAGAGCAAGGTCGTTTATTAGATGAAACGTTACGGCACTCCATGCCAGGTATCAACTTGTGTCAAATATCTTTGCTCTAGACCTCTTGGTTATTCGGAGCCTGATCAATGGTATTTACATATTTGACCCATGCGAACTTGGAAGTAGATCATGGCCATATATTTGGAACAACTTTATAGCACTCTGTCCCAGGTATCCACTGCCCAAATATCCGGACCATTGGTCCACCAGTTCTTCAAAAGTTGTTTAAAGAAAAAAGTTGAAACAGACAAAACACCATACCATAAGCTCACAGGCACTCACACTGAGAAAAAAAGACCTTGTAATATATCAGATGATATTTCAAGTTATTAAATCAACATTAATATATTCTGATAAATTTACAATCCAAGAGTGGTAATTAATTACAAATGTTTGTAGATTAGTCGTGCAAGGAATTATTTATTCCATGTGATCAAACACATTTGTGACAACTATAGTTTGATATGTATAGGACCTAGACCCCTGTGTTCCAATTGTTTTCAATTGAAATATTTTACAGAAAAGAACAGTTGTGGTTATAAGTTTAAATAATCAAGACACATCCAAATGACTCGACTGTAATATTAACTACTGAATTTCACCTGATAATATTACCCTTTTATACTCACAACCAAACTGGTCACTCTAGACTGGTTTGACTTTAGATTTAAACATTGCAATACTTTATAAATATACTGTTTTGTCTTGGAAAACTTTTTGGAATAATTGCATATCATAATGATGTTTAAATCACCCCTTTTCAAAATGTAGAACGATTTGTATACTCTCCCCATTCTATTATTATTTTATGTTCATGGTTCCAGATTTCCCGAAGGAGGTCCGTCTGATATTAACTTTTTTTTGCTTTTTCTAATCAACAAACGCTTGTTTTCTAACATGTACAGCAATAAGTCCACTAAATACATTAAAAACATGGCTCCAGAAAACTTACCTCTAACAACCAGGTTCACAGTTGAAGGGGACTGCCTAAGCAGTGTGCATTTCCATGTAGTTTCATCATCAGCCTTTGTAAGACTTGTAATAGTCATATATATCCCATTGGCGTCTGCTGATGCAGAATAGCGACTATTAGCAGAAGGACTACAACCACCTGGTATACAGGCTGATATGTCCCCAACAATGATGTCATTACTCCATTCTATATTTTGTGTAAATTCTGCAGATGGTAACGTACAGCTTAATGACACTGACTCCCCAGAAAATCCACACGTGTCTATAGTTAATGATGTGCCACAAATACCTACAATAGAGAAACATATGCGTGTATGAAGTAAACTAATACAAAATGCCCAAAGGGCCTGCATCACACAACTGGATATTTAGCATATTTTTACCATAGCAAAAATAATAATTAAAAAATAAAAGTAATTTAAAATGACTAACAAAAGATGTGAATGTCCCAATTGCCTTGTAAAATTAGTGTCAGTGTTTTAAATACTCTATAAATAGTAACGACTGAAATATGTACACTTTCAAAGTATTACAATATTTCTAGTTGATAAATGGAGAAATATACAGAAGCATTTTCACATGCAGTAACCTTTGAAACATGAACTCATCTGAGGTATATTTTACCAATGTAAACTTTATTTGTTTACAACAATTATGAAACAAGTTATTTCGATTTATATTAATCACTTTTGTTGGCCTGGATTTTAGCGCACAGGGGGGTCTTAATGTGGGAGAACATTGGAGTGCCCGGAGAAAATCCAAGTGGTCGGGCAGGTGACACCATACCTTTTCACGACCGATCAGGGAATCAAACCCCTGTCGCTTTTGTAAAATCCAAGTGCGCTATCCAATGCACCACCCAACCATCCACTCATATGATGTATTTTCATACTGAAACTGAATCGTGTGATTACAAGCTATACATAGCAAGTGACCTTGTCAATGACCTTTGAACACTGTAACACACAAATATCCGAGGTATTATAATTATCATACATAGTTGACAGATGATACTGAATTGATTGATTTTTTGTAGAGCAGGACAGAACATGGGCATCACTCTAGGCCTATTGGTTATTGACGCTGGACTGAAGGACGAGTGATGATATACCTCAAGCTCACTTGGCCAGGTAAGCTAAGAAAAAACGTGTGTGTTTCAGGTATCCCGACCTACCCTAGAGTTTACTGCCGACCTAGATATTATATTACCTACTTGTATCTAAGATTAATTTATTAGCCAGGCAAAGTTCACAGACACTCATTCAAATGTACTTTTTTCCTGTTCTGAGAGTCTGATATTATTCTTTAACAATTTATAGCCATGTAAGGTGTGAAAATGCATTGTAAAATTTGAAATAAAGCATCATATTAATTCCAGAACAAAACAAATTAATGACAATAAAGTTACTTGTTACCTGAAACACCCTTTTTATATTTTGGCCTAAAAATCACACATTTTTTTTTCAAATGACAATGAATCCTTAAAAAAGACACAACCCTGTATCAGATAGTTTTATAATACTCACTTCCTCTCAAGAAAAAACAGCAGAACAGCAGGAAGTATGTATTACTATGTTCCATAATAACCATGGATCCTAAAAAAATAAGGAGAAAACATATAACCATAATGTATTTGTTTCTATATTGTGATGAAAATGCAAAGAAATCTGCAATTATATAGAATTATGGGCAAGCATCCACTTTTCGTGTGGCCAAACAGATGACAGACAGTGTCAGAATGTTGACCGAATGATGATCACTCGTTTGCCAGACGCTGAATGAACATTTACACAAGCTGGACGATAAGGCCAGTTTTACTAATTGGAACAAACACTTTTAAAACGTTTTTTCAAGGGCCAATATACAGATCCCTGACCAGTAGAATAAACAGTTGATTAGGCGGCTTACTGTACTACTTGGTCGAATCACACTTATAATTAACTACCTGTATGTCAATCTGCTAAACCGCGGTCTAATCTTAGTCTATGTCTAAACAAAAGAATATATCTAAAACATTGACTAAACACTTTGAGTCATGTTGTATTTAAATTACATTAACTCGGGGGAATCTTACAATTAACATATTTCAAATACAAGTGGCAACAGATTATGTAAATGAATAACTGTTGATGATGTCACAAAAGAATCACCAACGGTTGTCCATAGATAGGTAAATGTAAAAAGAAGATTAAAACATCATTCAACAAATAAAGACATCAGTATTTTACTTTTTCCGAGACATTCAATGTAAGTTCTAGCTAACTTCGTTTACACAGTTTTTAAACTCACCATGTGATTTGTCTTACCTGTAAAAAGCAGGTAAGCTTATTACCTATAACTCCTACCCGTGAATATCATTGCCAAACGGCATTATAACCAACCCTCGAACTTTAACAGGTGTTTAGTCTGCAAAATACAGTATGGTTTTTTTTTGTTTTTTTTTTGTTGTATTTATCTTTTGGATTACTATTTATATATCGCAGTAAAGTTTTGGAAGCTTCCTGGTCTGGAATTTACTTTTTTTCAAACTGGGCACTTGTTTTTCAAACTGAGAGTAAAGTTATTTTCAAACTGAACGTTTACTTTTCAAACTCAATGTTATTTTTTTTTAAACTGAGTTTTTATTTTTCAAGCTGGATGTTTTCCTTTTATGAGCAGTGTTTAGATTTGAGGGCTGCTGTTTAGTTTTATATGGACCTATTGCTTGTCGGGTACTTTCTGGACTGCCGACTGTTCCAGAGCGCTAATCTGTGAAGTTGCTGCTCTGTCTGCCTTATCTGGTCGCTGTGCATCAGTGACAATCAACTCTGTATACGTTTTATCATAAGCAAGTAGATGGTATGCAATTGAAAACGTACATATAAAGAACGGTTCAGATGATTTGGTACTGAAACCTTGCGCTGGAGCCAGTTGCCGCCTAGGTGAAGGGGATACAAGTCCCTCGGCGTAATCAACTGGGCAAAGTCGCGAAGGGCCATCAACCCTGGGCGGACAAGCGTTGGGGATTAACTTGTCGATCGGCAGCTAACTTATATACTGTACATTGGATATCACTGACAGTCCAGGATACCTGGATGCCACATGCTGTATGTACGATTATTTCATGAATGACAGTTTAGAAGTAGAACGTGTTACGTCCGAAAAATAGTATTTACAATCACGTCAGATCATTAGGTGACAATCGGTCTGAATAAAACAATTATTCAATTGCAAGCTAAAAATAGCTAACGTCTCTGAGTAACACGAGGCTATCTTGCAGTTATTGAAGCAGCCCACGGATTTGGGGATGCTGAGTTCTTTGCACTAACCATTCTTGCTATATTTCGTACTTGAAGTCAGAAAGTTTGCATAAAATTCACAATCAAAAATTGACTGCTTTCGATTACCTAGTAACAGGTGGCGCTGCATTTACATTACGTAATGCTTAGTCAATTAAAGGTGAGGACGAACTACTTTGACGAGTAACGGAGATGTCTGAAGATCTACAGATTTTTGATTTGATAAACATTGTTAGTTTATAAGGAAATAGTTAACAAAACAAAACTTCTTGTCTCCAATTATCGTAGTAAAAACATGTGTCCTGTTTGCCTTCGATCTTGACAGGTATTACGAAACAAACGGCACAGAACGATTTCTTTAAATGTTAGAGAAATAGATCCAATCATTATAATATCAGAAAGATCTCATTAGTACTTCATGTGGCCATCTTGATTTTATGATCACTCTCCAAAACATGAACAACTCCATGGTCCCGCCAGAACTTCCTGGGAAATAGCGATAGCAAATATTCACTGTCAAAGTCCAAGATGGCTGTCTGTCGGACATTTTGTTTATCGGATCACTCAAAAGTAAACATGCACAACTTAACACCAAGGGGAACCTACATATCAAAATTGAGAAGGATCCCTCCAAAGCCTCCTGAAAAATAGCGTTAACAAATATTTACTGTCAAAGTCCAAGATGGCCGTCTATCGGCCATTTTGTTATTCAACCAGAGTCAAAAGTGAACATGCACAATAACAGACACAGGGGAACCTACATGTCAAATTTGGGAAAGATCTTTCTAGACATCCTGGGCCTCATGGTTATTCAAAAGAAATGTTTCAAGATTTTAATCATGTTTGAACCCAGTGATCTTGTATATAAGTCAAGGTCATACATTTTGACAAACTTGGTAGTCCTTCATGCCAGCATAATTCTTGGCTTATGCCATCATCCTGGACCTTTGGGTAATTCATAAAATGTTGTATAAAGTTTGTTTATATATCACAAAACTAGACCTTTTGTTAATCAAGATGAGGTCATTTAAAGGTATATACATATTTGACTAAATGTGACCTTGAAAAAAGTTCAAGGTCATTATAATTGAAAAACTTGATAGCCTTTCATCCAAACATATTTTTTTATCATATTTTATTTTTGATTGTTCACATGTTAGTACACAGTGGAGTACATGCCCCATTGTATTACATATTGTCTCGCATACTTATGAATTCTAGCTTCTTTTTCGTTTTGTTTCTTGTTCATGTTCAATAGCAACTGCTTGCGTTCTTTTTATTAGTTAGTAACTAATTCTAGATATGATAAACATCGATAGCAAAAATGAGCAAAATATGGATTGAAATTCAATTAATCAATGTTTAATGCTGTGCTGATAACGGCCTACTTCGCTACTACTTGGTCGGTTTGCTCGGGAATATGACAGGATACATTGAGTTTCAATTAGCTTATAGTATGATATTTCAGAACAAACACCGCCAATAGTTGGTATGGTATGCTTGTTTCTGCATGAGTAAATATATTTCTTTATGATGATGATACACATATTCACACTTTCATTTGTCATCTATTCTGTATATAAAGGAAACAGTTGACCATGGAAAATCTATATTACAATTAGTTACAAATTGTTGTCTTAAAATTGACCATAACGCACGTGTATGAGGACAATCCTAACATAAATTCATCAGCGTTTCTCTATTTACCGTACACATATTACAAATTTCTGTTTTTGTAATGTTTCTTTTCATTAGTCTAGAGTTTGTATAGAGTATTCCATGTAGCAATATAAATTGAAAATTAAAATGTTGTGTCATCTGTTATATTGAAAGGTAGCATGAAGTATATCTTCCAACTGTCATTTGTTATATCTAATCCCATTTTTTCTTGCCATTTTTGCATAGATGAAATAGGGAGGTCTTGATATTGATTGACCAATACTGCATACAAGTATCTAGTTATCTTTTCTTTCCCTTTTAGTATTGTATATATTTGTTTTCTGTTACATCAATAATGTTCGTGTATGTTTTAATAATATTTTCCCATGAATTTGGGATAGATGCTAGTAAGCCATAGTACTCAACGAAGTTAATTTGGATATCATATTGAAGTTTAAATTGATTCACATCAATAAATTCACCCCTGTCATTAAAGTCTTTAATGAAGAAAATGTTATGTTCTACCCACCTTTGATACAGTACACACTGTTTGTTTATCTTAATTTTATTGTTAAACTATATTGGTTGTGATAGTTTTTTCTGACGGGGTTGTGGGTGGAGAACGCTCTATAGAAGCCCATATTTTAATAATATTACTCCAGAAAGGATTGAAGTAATCATCTGCTATGTTGTTTATGCCCTCGCTATTCATGTACCAAATTGACTAACCCCAATTTTTTTGAAGTTTTCAGAAATTAAAGTTGTCCAAGGAGAATTGTTGTTGGGGTCTAGTATTTTGTTTATCCATGTCATTTATAGAGCTTGGCAGTACGTTTTCACATGAGTGAGTCTAAGGTCTCCATTCTCGTATGAGTTTATTATAAAATTTCTTTTAATCCTGTCAATTTTCCCTAACCATAAAAAAGGGGGATTTTTTTTTACTTTGTTTTTCAAATACTACATAAACATAGCAAGTGCGACTCCTTATGGAAAATAACGATCGGATTTGGCTGAAATAGATTCATATATTGATTAAATCTAAGATAATCATCGGTATTTATACCTGTCTGACCAACGTTTTGTTCAGCAATTTCCCTCTACTAGCTCATGCGCATATCACACCATTTATTTGTAAACAAAAAGACTGGCCGTGTGAAGTAAGGAGCTTTAATTTTCCTCTGTGATTCCAAACAATATTCTTTTTTTTGCAAGTATTCTTCCCCACAACCCCCCTTTGCCCCTAGCCAAACTACATGGGTTTTTTCAATCCAGAGCGTTCAGCAAAATAATCTAAAGTAACAAATGTTTCCTTCATATATTGTTCATCATCTTCAAGACAGAGTGTCGAATCATCTGCATATTCTGAATTATTTTTAAATGAAGAAAACCCATACAACAAAAAAAAACCAGAACAAGCTGATAAGATGGAAGTTATTTCAAATTCTTTAAAAAACATGGGAAAACTTAAATCACCTGGTCTAGACAGTAATTTTTTCTTCAATGAACATCTTATAAATTCTCTTAACAAACCATCAATATTTGCTTCTCTACTGTTGTATAGTTCCTCATAAAATTTAGTTTGTTCTGTTATTATTTCTTTAATATCCGTAATCACATTATTTTCATCTGTTGATAATCTAGGCATGAGCTTTTCGGTA